GCAGGCAAATTATATCGAGCAAATGCCTAGGTTGGGGATTAAAACTTGAATGCATTCACCTTTACTTGAAAAATGTTATGATCAACACCGACATGTAAAAAATTGGCGTACCTCACGCAGTGATTGAAAAGCAATAAATTCATTGTATATTTTCTGTGCCTCTGCTTTGGAATGATCTCCAACTTCAAGAGACTTGTATTGTTGGCAGGCAATCCAGAATTCGATATTTTCGTCGCTGAACTCACCACGTAGAAACTCCCGGAAAACTCGCAGACCATCTGCAAAGAAGAAAGCAAATGAATCTTGCGGTTTCATCCTGCTTTCCCTTTCATGCGTTGTAAGTGTTTATGTTTTAAGGAGATTTGGCAGATTTGATTAATTTTAAGTTGACCCACTTGTTAAAAAACTCGCGGCATTCGGCGGGATTTGAACCCGTATCGTAGAAAAGGCGTTTACGCGAAGCCAATGCTCTGCCAGTTGAGTTACAAATGACACACTTCATACCGTGAGTTTTGTCATACTTGGATCGGCTTAACCCGCCCACTTGGGTCATTTAGACATTTAGCAACTCTGCCAAACCTCATAATAATAAATCGGCCTAATAATCATTCTGGTGAATTCTAGATGATTGCTTAAGAAATCCTGCTTGGACAGTCAGCGTGATGTTCCGTATTAGTAGATTCCAAACGAGCGCTAAAATTGGGCGATAAAATCGATCCCATTGTGATTAAACTCACGGCATGGAGCGTGGCGTTTGTAGATCTACCAAGAGAGAATTGATCTCGCGTAAAGGGCTCCTCTACTATGCGGGTTCAAATGCCGCCGAATGCCGCGAGTTTTTTCACAATTTGGTCAACTTAAAATTTCTGTTTTTATTTTATTTTGTTGCGGAAATATTTTAATAAGGCACTTGTAGTGAAGCAGTGTGACAGATCTTTGTCAAATTACTACTCACTAAAATGCCTTAGGAACGGTGGGGTGCCTGGGAATTCGCTTACAAGGATTGTGGACTTACATAGCGTCTACCGAACCATCTTCTTACATTCGGTGTCAAGAGAGAGTAAATGGGGAAACTGGGCAGGATGAGGCGCAGATAGCTGTTACAAGAATTTGTTATCCAAAATGCCAACTGTCTGAGCTGATTACGTATTTGGCCTTACAAGTGTACTACATAAACTGATTTAGGGACACTACAACAAAAAAACCATTGATGCAATTGCGTCAGAGAACGACCTTACTGCGGTCGACTAAGTAGTTGTAACGTCATAAATGCAGGTGTAGACATTAACTGCGGTATGTATGCCAGAGTGTTGCAAAGGTGTCCTGCAGATGCTTCTAATTACGCGCATTAACTACCCATAATAAAAAGAATGCGAAGTTCAGAGGACAACCGTCTTTATTTTAGATTTTTTAAAGGAATGTGGCCCCGTTCGAGGTCTAGGAGGTCTAGATGGTGACGTTTACTGTCCTTTATAAGAATGTGGCTCCTGTGAGGAAATACGAGCAAAAGAAAATAATTCTACGAAGTCGTTCTTCGTGCAATTTGAGGTTAAAATAATCATGAACGACTTGGTTTGTGCAATTAAGTATGCCAGATGGTTTTTAAACAATCCTAAATTTGCATGGTACCTCTCTAATATGGTACTCTTCTTGAACTGCAAGATTTCGTAAGAATCGACCAAGCAGAGGGTATTTAACTTCTAAATGCTTAAGCTGATGAATCAAGGATTTTTCGAGAAAGCAATGTGCCATTTGCGTAGCTCATGTGAGATATTTTTGGAGGTAGCTGCTTTCTTGAGGGGAATTAATCATTTTGATTACAGCAGATGTCCCCATTTAAATAAAATCAGTAAAAACTTATTCTTCATATAATACCAGATATAGAG